AACTGATTTTTAAAAAAAATTTTCAGTTTAGTATGGGAAAAAAGTCAGAATTCTGACTTTAATCTCAGAATTCTGAGAAAAAAGTCAGAATTCTGACTTTAATCTCAGAATTCTGACTTTTTTCCCATGTTAAACTGAAATAAAATTTAAAAATCAGTTTACTTTTTTTTTTTTCAGTGGCCCTAATCCTCTTCCGTACATTATAGGGGCTTGTAATGAACAAATGTTAAACACTCAGACTTTCTGCATTAGGATTAAAAGGTTGTTTTCCACATTTACTGTAAAAAAAAAAAAAAAAAAAAAAAAGGCAGGTAAAATTAGATTTTTCTAAACAGTCCTAAAAGTTTCACCAAATTATTGCATTTAGAATAATCCACTTTTTCTTTCCTAGTAACACTTCGCCTCTGCCATCCATTTTAATCTATTCATCTATTAATGAAACTATTGTATTTGCACAGTATTAATACTAAATTAGTTTTTATGTTAAAAAAAACAACAAAAAACATGGATTATAGAGATGATTACCACATACAGGTAGGAGCACTTGGTTGGTTCCCTTTAGAATAATTTCCTTGTTCAGTTTAACATAAAAAAATAGATGAATTTGGCAGATAAAAGTAGAATCTTTTAGTACGTAAAATATGTATGAATGCTCTAAATACAATCTTCCACCTTCTTCAGGTCAAATGTTTCTGGGCTTTTTACTATACAAAGCAAAATATACATCTAATAGAAACACACTGCTAATGTGTCTATGGGGGATATACTAAAATAAAATATAAAAAAATAAAGTCACACTAGAATATAAAGCTGATTTAAGGTATCACTGCAAAGAAACAACAGAATTAGGCAGAGAGGAGGAGTGTGAAGGACGAGAGACTGACCCGGAGAGTTCAGTCGTCGTCGCTGTCGCTGCCCGACTCGCTGAGCTGAAGGTCGTTTCCTGATCGGCAGAAGAAAGCAGGTGAGAAAATGTCTCCTGAAAAGATTTCCAAGCGATTGGTGAAAAGTCAGACACTCACGGAGCGTGTTGATGAGCTGGTTGTTGCCCTGCTGCCGGTCGACTCCTCCGTTGACGATGGGGAGACGGCTGGGGGAGGTCTGACTGAGAGGCCGCGGGGCGTCGTTCTCACCGTCGCTGCTGCTGCTGTCGTCGCCGCTCCCCGAAGCGCTGGCTGAATCAGAGGAGCTGCTGCTGCCGCTGCTGCTCATCTGCTCTATGACCTCCACCTCGGCTCTCAGCTCTGTCAGCGTGGAATCAGCAGGGTTATATTTCCTTATTTACATTCATATGCGGTCCTGAATGTTTCAGTGGCCTCTTATTGTGTAGGATTAAGCGCTGGTGCGTATGGCTGAACCTTCTCACCTCTCTTGATGTCATCCAGCTGAGGCTCAGGGGAGGGGTTGTCCTTCGTTTGGGAGGGGGAAGTTTTGATCCCAGTTCCAGGCTTGGTTGGAGCCCGGAACTGAGAGCTTGGCTGGCTGGAGCGAACTGACTGCTGCTCAATACGGGCCTGGATCTTACTGCTCCCCTCTGCCCTGTACAATAAACACACAGCAGATATACCTTATATTAGTCTTTTAAAGCTTTGTTTTCTCCTTTGTCTTTAATACTAAATCAAGTTCATCTGTTCTAATGAAGCAAAAATCAAAACTATGTTTTTTTTAATATGTCCAACATTCCGAAGATTTAACTCCTTACCTTGTCTTCTTTACCTGGATGCTGCTGCTGAGCTTCTCCAGCACAAACTCACCGGTGTCATGGTTAATGATGAGAACACAATCCTTCTGATACGGCCGTTTGTTTCCTTTAAATACTGTCATAGGAGGCGTGGAGCCCTGAGAGACAAATCGGAAGTTTAAATCAATTCAAATACACTTTAAATAAATGTCGCTGCAGCTCATATTGTAGAGATCTCGGTAAAGTTGTTTCATTATTTACAGATTTTTTTATACAACCACAGCTTCTGTCATAGTTCTAAAAGTTTCAAATTGGAGTTTTAGGAGTTGGAGGTTGCTTTATAGCGTCCTCCGCCGAGAGTCTTACTGGAATGTGAGGTAGTGTAATGGTAACTTCATCTCCTTTCCCAACTTGTAGTTCTCCTTCGCAACTCGTGTTGATAGATGCTGGTTTGAAGTCATCTGAAAAAGAAATGAAGACAATTATCACATCTTTGATGACTTCTGACAATGTTTGTTCAAAGTAACTGAAGTTGTTGGGCCAGTGTAGAAATACTGGAGTCTGAAAGATTTCACAGAAAGGTTTCATGATAATAAAATATAGTGCTCATATGGTGCAGATTGTATCACTGTTGCCTTGCAGCAATAAGGTTCTCTGTTCGATTCTTGGCCCAGAGTTTGCATGTTCTCCCTGTGCATGTGTGGGTTCTCTAAAGGTAACCGCGGCTTCCACAGTCAAAAAAAAAAATGACTGTTAGGTTAAGTGGCTTCTTTAAATTTTCCTTAGGTGAGAGTTTGTGTGCCTGTGTCTCTGTGTTGCGCTGTCAGACTGACAACAGACTGAGTCTCGCCCACAGACTGCTGGTGATAGGCACCGGCCCCTACGTGACCCTGACGGAATAAGCAGCAGACTGATGGACGGATAGATATATGGTAACCTGGTTGTTTTCATTTCAATCTGAAAAACTCACAAGAAGAGAAAAGACAATTAGGAGAAATGTATTGATACAATAACTTGGTCTTTGGCGCTCAGACCTC